CCCCCCCACTGCAGGCAACAGTCCTTCCAGTCGGTGTACTTGCTCTTCCGCCAGCGGAAGGTGGAGTACTTCTTCTATCAGGCCTCCGCATTGACGGTGGTTTTCTTTCAGTCAGATGGTAGTCCCAGTGATGGCGGAGCCCCCTCCTTCAGCGCGCTCATTTCACGCTCGACTCCTGGTCTTCAGCGCATGCTCAGCGCCGAGGGGGTCCCCTTCGCCCTGGTGGAAAAGCCCCCGACCTCGCCAGCTCAGGAGCCTGGCTCCGAGTCACAGGGAGTTCCTCCTGGGGGCCGTGCTTCCGCTTCCGGGTCCTCGCAAGCCCCCCTCCTCCGGCCAGCTCCCGACGGCCTTGGCAATGACGGGGATGACAGCGAGGAGGACGAGGAGGATGACCTGAACGAGGCCCTGGCCGACCTGTATGCCCTGGAAAGCCTGCACCCAGGCTCAGTGTACGTTGGGGTCGCTGTCTTCCCAAATGGGGTTTTGTCCTTTGCATGATGCCCTTTCCTTCTGCCATGTTATCTTCCCCTCCCCCTCTCTCTCTCTGTCTCTCTCCCTCATGCTTTCTGTATCCATCTCTCTCGGCTACTACTGACGCGCCTGCACCTGCTTGACACCTGTTTGTCCCCTACCAATGATGACAGTGCGCTTCCATCGGCGCTTCGCCCACTAGGCGGCGAACTGAAGCGCCGGAAGATGGCTCTGCATCCGTTGCACGTGGCGGGGCCCATCGCCACGCATGCCCTTTTCAATTGCATCCTCAATAGTGTGGATATTTCGGTCTTCCTGTCGTCGACGGCCCTGCCGCCGTCGCTGGAAGCCGCCGGGCGTCCAGCTAGCCAGGGCCCCCTGCCGCCGAGTGACATGCCCCTACCCCCGCTCACCCCCCGGCGAACGGGGTCTCAGCCAGGGGAGTTGACGCGCGGGTCGCAGTCCCACCGCCTGGCCGCCGGGTCGGGTGCCTTCTTCCAGATCACCCCCTTGCCCACCATCCTGGCCCCCGGTCCCTTTCTCGGGGCTGGGGTGCACTTCATCGAGGCCGACATGCGCCAGGGCCTGGCACCCGGGCCACGACGCGGAGCCGAGGCCTCTTTCGCCTCGCCCCGGCGTCCGGCCGGCGTAGCCACACCGGCAAGCCACTCACGAGCCCGGCTCCCGCGCTTGTTCACGGTCACCCTGCGCGACGCGACCGCTGGCCAGGCGGCGGTCGGCGAGCTGGCCACTCGACCTGCCACCCCAGGAGGGGCTAGCACGCCGGGTGTCACCAACGCCGTGCGCGGCGGCACCGGGACATCCCTCCTCGGCGGGGGGCCAGTGCGTGCACGCATGATTGGTGCCCTGATGCGCGAATTTGCCGAGCAGTTCTGGTGCGTGCTCAGGCGGCCCCCTTACCCATCACCGCCTGGTCAAATGCGCACTCACACACCCCGTCTACCACCGCCACCACCACCGCCACCACCGCCACCACCACCATCCACCCACCCAACATGCACTCGCCTGCCACTCGCAGCATCCACCATGGGTACGACATCGAGCGCGAGAGTTTGGCCACCGGCCGGCAGCTTGGTGCACCAGGCTCTCTGGAGGCCGATGCGCCGGGAACCCGCGGACGCGTCCGTCTTGTCTATACCCGGGACGAGGAGGCCGAATCCATCGGCGGGGCTTTCCTGGATCTCCATGCGGGAGAGGCACCCCTATCCGGCCCTCCCCCCGGGTGGTAGACAGCCACCCGTGCGAGAGGGGGAGGCGCAAAAAATAGACACCCCCCTTCGGTGCCCCACAACAGGTGTCTGTCTTTTCCTCGGCCTGGCCTTCTCTCCACTCCTTTCTCCTGGCCCCAACCCCGCGTCGGGACGACACGCCTAGATAATTGCACACACACACACACACACACACACATGCACAGGACAGTGTACGAAGGCCGATACAGGCCCCTGTCCTCCCTCTCGCCCCCAGAGCAGCAAAAAAGGGGGACAACCAAAAGGCGGGACTTGGACAACAGATGGGGAGAATTTTGGGCTTCATATGGGGGAGTAATATTGAGAGGGGGGAAACATCACAAGAGGAAAGCTTCAAAGGGACGCGGGGATAGGGGAGGGGGTGGGGAAGACGCGATCCGCCCTCGGGAAAGAGGGCAAAAAGACCGACGAAACCCTGTAGGCTCTCCTCTGCCCTGCAGAGGCCCCGCCTGCTGTGCCCCGCGGCTCCGGATCCCCCCCCGCCCCCCTGCTGGTGGAAGCCCTCTCGGCGGCGAGAGGAAGAGAGGGAGGGGGGGAGGGGGCCCGGGCACAGAGACAGGCCCGCGCACAGCCGGGCGACAAAGAGCCCCCCCGCCCATCGAGCCAGCCCTGCCGCCCCCCGCCCGGCCGTGTGACATCACACACGGGACGGAGGAGGGCGCGCCGGCGGGCACGCAGGGGGAGCGCGAGGGACGTGGAGGAAAAGCATCGGCCGCGGAAGTGACACACGCACGCGGTGCGCGCGCATTTAGTTCTCGGAGGCGAGGAAGTTGGTGATGAACTTCTCGGTGATCTCCTTGAGCTTGGCCTCGGTGTCGGCGGAGATGGCGGCCTCCTTGCGGATGACGTCGAGCAGGTCCTTGTGGTTGGACTTGAAGTAGGGGAGGTACTGGGCCTCGAAGTCGATGATGCGGTTGACCGGGACCTTGTCGAGGTGACCACGGACACCGGCGTAGATGATGACAACCTGCTGCTCGAAGGGCAGAGGAGTGTACTGGCCCTGCTTGAGGAGCTCGGTCAGGCGAGAGCCACGGTTCAGCAGGAACTGGGTGGTGGCATCGAGATCGGAACCGAACTGGGCGAAGGCGGCGACCTCACGGTACTGGGCAAGCTCGAGCTTGAGGGAAGCAGCGACCTGCTTCATGGCCTTGGTCTGGGCAGCGGAACCGACACGGGACACGGACAGACCGACGTTAATGGCCGGGCGGACACCCTTGAAGAAGAGGTCGGCCTCCAGGAAAATCTGGCCGTCAGTAATGGAAATGACGTTGGTGGGAATGTAGGCAGACACATCACCAGCCTGGGTCTCAATGACGGGCAGGGCGGTCATGGAGCCGGACTTGTAGGCGTCGGACAGCTTGGCGGCACGCTCAAGCAGACGGGAGTGCAGGTAGAACACATCACCGGGGTAGGCCTCACGACCGGGCGGGCGGCGCAGCAGCAGAGACATCTGACGGTAGGCAACGGCCTGCTTGGTCAGATCGTCGTAGATGATGAGGGAGTGCTTGCCGTTGTCACGGAAGTACTCACCCATGGCGGCACCGGTGTACGGGGCCAGGAACTGAAGGGGAGCGGCCTCGGAGGCGGTGGCGGCAACGACGATGGTGTACTTGAGGGCATCTGACGAGGGGGAAGGAGAGAGAGAGAGAGAAGGGACACGGGGAGGGGGCACACCGCGAAGACCGGTGGCCGGGGAGTGTGTCAGTGACGAGGAGGAGGAGGATGACAAGCAGCGAGAGAAACATGCTCAGCTACGCACCGTACTGCTCGAGGGTCTTGACGAACTGGGCGACAGTGGAGCGCTTCTGACCGACGGCGACGTAGACGCAGTACAGCTTCTTGGACTCGTCGGAGGACTCGTTGACGAGGCGCTGGTTGAGAATGGCATCCAGAGCAATGGCGGTCTTACCGGTCTGGCGATCACCAATAATCAGCTCACGCTGACCACGGCCAATGGGGACCATGGCGTCGATGGCCTTCATACCGGTCTGCATGGGCTCGTGGACGGACTTGCGGGGGATAATACCCGGGGCCTTGACCTGGACACGAGAGCGCTGGGTGGTCTTGATGGGACCCTGTGTGCATGTGCGGGGAGAGGGGAGAGAGAGCGGGAGAAGGAGAGGCCGGCGCAGAGGGAGAGGGAGCACGGGAAAAGGAAGAGAGTCAGTATGTGGGGGGGAAAGACCCAGCATGGCCGGGGGGGGCACAGCAGGAAGCGCGCCACACAGGGCACCTCGCCCCAGGGGGAGGAGGAAAGGGGAGAGAGCCGTGAGCGAGGAGGCAGGAAAGGGGAAGCGGCATGGGCGTACCTTGCCATCGATGGGGTTACCGAGGGCATCAACGACACGGCCGAGGAGCTCGGGGCCGATGGGGACATCCACAATGTCACCGGTACGCTTGACGGTGTCACCCTCACGAATCTGGGTGTCATCACCGAAGACGACAACACCAACGTTGTCGGCCTCCAGGTTGAGGGCCTGACCGCGGACACCGGACGAGAACTCAACCATCTCCTCAGCCTGGACGTTCTTCAGGCCGTAGACACGGGCAATACCATCACCAACGGACAGGACGCGACCGGTCTCGTTGATGTCGATGTCGGAGGTGGCGCCGAGGATGCGCTGCTCCAGGATGGAGGAGACCTCGGAGGTGGCGGCAGCACCGGCCTTGGCAGCGTTGACGGCGCTGGTGGAGAAGGCACGGGTGGCGAGGGGGCGGAGGGAGGTACGGAGAGCGGGAATCATCTTCTGCAGGAGCGAGGGGGAGATGGGGGAGGGGCGAGGCGGGGGAGGAGGGTAAATAGGGCGAAGAGCGGAAGAGTGGGGAGGGGGAGGGGGAGGGGGGAGGGGGGAGAGGAAGAGTGCAATGACCCTCCATGTGTGCGCGCGAGGGCGTGCGCATGCCATGCAAGAGCCGGGCCCACGCATGGCAGGGACAGGCGTGGGGAGCACGGCGCGCGTGCGTACGCGCCGCGTCACACGCAAGGCCTCCAGCAGACGGGAGCGAGGGCGCGCGCGCGCGCGCGCACAACTGTGGGGGCAGGGACGAGACGCGGG